GGAAGGATGCCCACAGCCTCTCCTAGGTCCTCTCCCCGGACCTTACGTCAGGGTTAACAGCAGTTGTGTGTGAACCTGAACCTGGATCTCACCATGGTTGTTTCTCACCCTTAGGCTTCGTTGAAATAGCTCTCCTTGATGTGCTGTTCCTTAAAAATCAACGTTGTACCATTATTAAAGTGATAATGCCTATGCGCTCTTGGCTAAGTCTGGTTTTTTAAAGATTAATTTATTGAACCAGGTGCCAGTAGCTCACGCTTGTAATCTTAACTACTCAAGAGGCTGAGAGCTGAGAATCGTGGTTCTAAGCCAGCTTGGGCAGGAAAGTCTGTGAGACTCATCTCCAATTAATCACTAGAAAACTGCAAGTGGTTCTGTGTCTCAAAGTGTCAGAGCACTAGCCTTGAGCAAAAGAGCTCAAAGACAGTGACCAGGCCCTGAGCTCAAATCCTCATGACCAACAAAAATAAAATATAATAAAATTTTAGCTTATTTTCACCCTATGTAGTTCTTCCAGGATTCAAAGTGTTATTTAATATTCTCACCTTCGAGGAAAGATGAACATTTGTAGAGGTTTACCAAGAGTCTCTCTCTTTTCTTCTTGTAATGTGACATAACTGGGCAAGTGCTTGGATTTGATTGCCTAGCATGGAAAAGCTTACAGGTATAATTTGATGCTCCGTTTCATAAGCCAATTTATATACACCACTCAGGCTGGCTTAATAGATACAGTAAGGTCCCTCGACTATTACCAAGTCTTTGTCCAAAATATCATCTTTTCAGCTATGTATAGAATTACCATCCTTGCTAAAGTTTTGTAAATAGGCCAAGTTCCTTGAGACTAGAATTATTTTGCCAAAAAACCACCCCAAAACAAAAAAAACTTAGTTTTTGCTATACTTCATTTTAGAAAAAAAAGGGTGACTGTGAAAGATGGTTTTATTTCAGCAAAAACCTCCAGCATCCCCGTGGTGAAACTCCAGTAGAGGCCGGCTGTGTGAGGCTGGTGGAGACGTGCCCAGATCTGCAGGATGAATTCGCAGCACAGCGTGGGTCTCACGGGGAGGGGGGGGCAGCTGGGTGGCCGAGGCACTTTAGGAATCAGTTGATGGCGGGTGGAAAGTGAGCTAAGTTTAGGAACACCTGGGCTTTCCTGTGGTCCTAACTTTAGGCAACTTCCTAGGTCCTTCTTTATAAAATGAGGTTAGGATGACCTGCTTGACTCAGTCTTTGATAATTAACCCAGTGGATAATGACATTGTAGCAAGTGAGAATTTGAAAATTGGAATGAGTAATAAACTTTCCTTTTTGGTAGCTTCAAGAAAATAGACACATCATTTCAGTTTTGAGATGCAGCACAACTATTATCAACTCTGCTTCCTTGTTTAAAACGATTCTATTGATACTAAATGTTCTACTATAAAAATCTGGGCTAGGCCCTGGTGGCTCACGCCTATAATCCTAGCTACTCAGGAGGCTGAGATCTGAGGATCACGGTTCAAAGCCAGCGCAAGCAGAAAAGTCTGTGTGACTCTTATCTCCAATCAACTACCAGAAAAAAAAAAAGGAAGTGGAGCTGTGGTTCAAAGTGGTAGGGTGCCAGCTTTGAGCAAAAGGGCTCAGGAGCATTCCTCTGGCCCTGAGTTCAAGCCCCATGACAAATAACAACAACAGTGTGAGAAATACTGCCTGCTCCATACCTTTCTGGTTAGATTTGAGAGAATGCTCACGGGGCCCATGGTCATTTTTGTAACAACTATTATGTATATTTGTTATATCTCTTGCAGTGTAAGTCAGCTTAATTCAGCATTAATTTGAAGGTCCACTCCTATTTCATTAGATCATTACTGAAATTGTATATTTTTATTAACTTTTTTGTTAAATAATATAGTCCACTTCATAAAGATTTTTTGGAAGATGAAATGCACTAATGAGATTAAATGAGTGCTACATTAATGTGTAGTACTTAGCAAGTGGTAAGAGCTTACAGTTAATGGTTAACTAAATATTATGTATTATGTTTTTCTTTTAAGACATAAATATTTATTTCAATCATTTTATGAGCTGGTTCTTATTATTTTAGGATTTATTCTGAGGGTTGATGCACAATAAGTAGTTACTAAATGACTGTAATTTTGCCTTAAATGGCAATTTTTTTCTTTGCTTATTAGCCTTCTTTACATTATATTCTTTAAGTAGTTGTACAGAGGGTTACCAATCAACATGCCAGTTTATGAGTACAATGAATCCGGGTTGATACCATGCCTTTCATCGCTTCCCCCATTCCTCCCAGCCCCACCCCTCCCCTCCATCTTTCTCCCACCTCCCCTCATCCCCGTGCTCCTCACCTCGCGCCCCACACACGTCTCCAGTTCCAGCCTCCGTATTCATTGTGTTAGACTGTACGTTAGTTGTTCAACAGAGCTCCACCATGTGAATTCTCTCCTGCATGCACCATGCTTCCGCTAATACATTTTCTCTTCATCCCTGCTTTTTGAAGATTTTAAAAATTAGCATCTATTATTCATAGAGGAGGATTCTGCTTTGACATTTCTATATAATCACCCAAAGTATCCTAAACCAACTCACCCCTCCATCACTTCCTACCCCTCACCCCTCCATCATCCCCTCACCCCTCCATCATCCCCTCACCCTCCATCATCCCCTCACCCCTCCATCATCCCCTCACCCCTCCATCACCCCTCACCCCTCCATCATCCCCTCACCCCTCCATCACCCCTCACCCCTCCATCATCCC